GAATACTGCGCTTGTATGTGGCCACTTGCAGTCCTTCTGAGAACTTACTTCTTTTAGTGCAGTTTATTATGAAAGTGTACGCACCTATGTGGTTCAATATAAAAACGCAATCTTCAATTAAATATGGTTCGGTACATTTATGGAAAACCATTAGTGAGTCAAGGGGCCTTCCTAAAGGAGTCAAAACAATTATTGATAAAGTAATTTCAACTAACGCGTATTTCGCCCATCCCGAGAATATTCTGATAGCTATGATTGCTGACGAGAGAAGTCATATTAGGGAACTTGGTATACGACGCATATTAAAGACTAGAAAACAACCAGCAGCAAAAAAATTACGAATATTTAAAATACCACCTTTAAATTGGAATGCCAAAGACTATACCGAAATGATAGATTGGAGTGAATGTTGTATTACAGAGCCCCCACTAACAATTGATATCAAAAGCGAAGATTTGTTAGCAGCAATTGAAAATAAATCTTTTATTAATTTTAGCAAATTACCAAGTCACACTCAAGCTGTGGAGAGATGCGTAAAGATTATAACCGAAGCATCCAGTAAAGTTTGTGGTCACTCTTCAAGAGACGGTTTTATAAGGGTTAAAATAGAGGCAAGAAAAAATTTACCCATGTTCGATAATAAAAAACAATACTACAATGTTGAAAAGTAAAAACAAGTATATTATTATACTAAGGGATGGAAGGGAGGGTGCAACTCGACATGCAGCCACCTCCCCGTGGTGAGTTGTGGGTTGACTAAATGATGATTGATATAAAATAAAATAATTTTGGTGCGCGATTTAATCATATATGATATATCATCATTTTTTCAAGCAAAGAGCTGCATATTGGAACTTAAAATGCCAAGGGGCGCGGCTAAAAATTAAAATATATTAACCAGATTTTTTTTGTGTCGCAAGTGAGCCGATACCTATCAGTTTTTTGCTATGCCAAATCCAAAATTTAAATTTGGAAAAAAAAAATTTTTAGCCCCCCGGGGGCGAGGCTAAAACATTTTTTTAAATTTTGAAAAAAAATCAACTAAACTGTCTACCCCCCTTACAACTTTTTTTTACTATGCCAAGTAAGATTTCAAAAAATAATTTTTTTTTGCCTTTTTCGGCCCAGCCTAATAAACAGAGCACAAACCCAAAGCATAAAAATTATAAACAACAAAAATGGCCGCCGTTAAACTGTGCAGTGTTGCAGTGATTTTTTGTATTTTTAGTACGAGATAGAACAGACCTTGTTGTGTGGATTGTGGTCCCCAAATTTTTTTGTAAATTTGAGCTTGATTTATAGATTGCCTTCTACCTTCCTCCCGTAAAAGATGAACAATACGAAAACCGTTGTGCTGTTTATAGATTCCCGTACGGGACTGCGGTTTTTGTATTGTACTATGCTCCACACTTCAAAGTCCCACCACGTGACCACGTACGGAACGCAGTCTTTTGATAAATTGTCATTTAAGGCTTTTCAGGTTATGTATCTGTCAAAGTATAGTCAATGCAAGAAATAATATTTATACTGTTACCATTTATGTTTAAGCGTTAAAAGTTAATAAATCTTTATAGTAGCACAGTAACAATGGTTGGTTTAAGAGTTTAGGAGTATAAATACTGCATTTAATGAAATTCTAAAGTGTATAGTGCCAAATAAGTAAAACTTTTGTGCATTTGGTCTACATATATCTGGTTTTATCCATTAAATAGTTTTAACTAAACGGCATTTATTAAAAAAATTTAGCTTGTTTATTATGGAATAAGAATATCTGTATCAAAGGTAGGTTAATATATTATAACAAAAAATATCATCTAATTTTGAAATTTTAAGGTTAGAAAAATCTATTTTGATCAAAATAAATAAGTATTTTGGATTATTTGGAAGAGTGTGTTAATATGATCATATAAATATAGATATACTAAATAATTGTTGAATATGGTTCAAATTAAATTAAAGCTTTTATACTCCTAACAACAAAACTTGTGCATACCTCGGGATCCCTACTTTAAGTTAGATTATAAGGAAACTAACAACTTTTAGAGATACATGCAATGTAAAAATATTTAATACTCCCATAACATGTGATTTTTGAAATTTTTAAAAGTTATAATGATTTTTTGATGAAGATAAAATTCAGTTGAAGCTTTATAAGTAATTGTATTGACAAAACTTTATGTAGGTATACTTTAAGCTGGATAAGAAAAAATACTACAAGTAAAATATTAGATGGAGTATACTGTGGTTTTATTTAAATTTTAGAATTTATAAGGTTATTTATACCTAATGATTGTTCGATGTAGATAAAATTTTGTCGAAGCTTTTATAGGTACTTGTATTGACACTATGGGTAAATTAGCTGACAGTGTAAGGAACTTTAAGAAGGTTAGCTATTTAATTTTTAAAAAGAATTTACAGTTTTTTAAAATTAAGTATCTAATGGTTTTATATTTGAAATGTTTAATATTGCTTATTTCCAAGAGCCAGTTGTTCAATTATGATGTCTATTTTGTTTTACTCCGGCATAAATATTTTCAACTGTAAAACTTAACTATTTTAAGATTTTTAAAATTAATTAAATATATAAAGGGGTTAATTTTAAAGAAGGAATCTAAAAACAACACCTTAAAATTATTAAAATTTGCAAATTATTAAATAATTTTAAATAATGTTTTTTATTATTTTACAAATTTCCAAACTTATTTTTTTTCTATATGTGAGTTTTTGAACTTTTATCGATTTTAGATTCTTTAAATTTTTATTTAAAATATATTATTTTTTGTTTATTTAATTAATCAAAGACGTTTATATGTATTTTCTTAAAATTATATTTAAAATTAAATTGTCACATTATTTATGAACACCATGTATAATTCTTAATTATATAATTACAAAATAAAACTAATAATATTTTACATACACACATATACATATATACAATATAATTTATTATGTAGGTACTATATCGTCGGTCTCATGACATAAGGCCCTATCTCACAAAAACCGTTAAAACCGTTATTACAACAATATGTTAATTATTATGTTGAAATTTGGTATCTAACAAAAAACTTATATGATTTGTTGTTCATAATTTCAAAAAAAAAGATTGCAAAACGTTAAAGTTTTATGTTGTGTTGACTTACAGATATCAGTTTTCTTTAAATTGCTTTCCTGAAAAGTTAAAATCGAGATAGGGCCTTATGTCATAAGACCGACGATATTACCTAATCAGGCTCACTGATCCTGATGAGTGTTATATTGAACTAAATAAGGTATACCTATACTTATAAGTAATATCTTTATCAATACAAAAGGATGTGTGTCATTAAGGTTACTTGTATTAATTTAGTAATTATAAATATATATAGACCCCCAAATAGTAATTTTAAACTATTTTTGGATGTCTTGGAAAAAGTTTTTAATGATTTAGGTGTGTCTACAAAAATTGTTGTAACAGGTGATTTTAACGTAAATTTTACCCATTTTAGTAATTCTACTTTTTTATTTATTATTGTTAGATTTATTTTTGTTCATTGGTTTCAAACAACTATTTTATTTACCTAGTCAAAATTCAAATTGAAAATATTTATGCCGGAGTAAAACAAAATAGACATCATAATTGAACAACTGGCTCTTGGAAATAAGCAATATTAAACATTTCAAATATAAAACCATTAGATACTTAATTTTAAAAAACTGTAAATTCTTTTTAAAAATTCAATAGCTAACCTTCTTAAAGTTCCTTACACTGTCAGCTAATTTACCCATAGTGTCAATACAAGTACCTATAAAAGCTTCGACAAAATTTTATCTACATCGAACAATCATTAGGTATAAATAACCTTATAAATTCTAAAATTTAAATAAAACCACAGTATACTCTATCTAATATTTTACTTGTAGTATTTTTTCTTATCCAGCTTAAAGTATACCTACATAAAGTTTTGTCAATACAATTACTTATAAAGGTTCAACTGAATTTTATCTTCATCGAAAAATCATTATAACTTTTAAAAATTTCAAAAATCACATGTTATGGGAGTATTAAATATTTTTACATTGCATGTATCTCTAAAAGTTGTTAGTTTCCTTATAATCTAACTTAAAGTAGGGATCCCGAGGTATGCACAAGTTTTGTTGTTAGGAGTATAAAAGCTTTAATTTAATTTGAACCATATTCAACAATTATTTAGTATATCTATATTTATATGACCATATTAACACACTCTTCCAAATAATCCAAAATACTTATTTATTTTGATCAAAATAGATTTTTCTAACCTTAAAATTTCAAAATTAGATGATATTTTTTGTTATAATATATTAACCTACCTTTGATACAGATATTCTTATTCCATAATAAACAAGCTAAATTTTTTTAATAAATGCCGTTTAGTTAAAACTATTTAATGGATAAAACCAGATATATGTAGACCAAATGCACAAAAATTTTACTTATTTGGCACTATACACTTTAGAATTTCATTAAATGCAGTATTTATACTCCTAAACTCTTAAACCAACCATTGTTACTGTGCTACTATAAAGATTTATTAACTTTTAACGCTTAAACATAAATGGTAACAGTATAAATATTATTTCTTGCATTGACTATACTTTGACAGATACATAACCTGAAAAGCCTTAAATGACAATTTATCAAAAGACTGCGTTCCGTACTTGGTCACGTGGTGGGACTTTGAAGTGTGGAGCATAGTACTTATATCTTTTACGGGAGGAAGGAAGGAAGGCAATCTATAAATCAGGCTTAATGCATTAACCCAATTTTTTAAATAATATATTGTGTTTTTAAGATAATTTTGGTTTCATTATTATTATACAACATGCTTTTATAATTTGTACAAATTTTTTTTGTACGATAATTTATTTGAAAATACGATAATTTTATGAGGTTGGTACGATAAATCCGTTTTCAAGACTTGGCAACACTGTCCTGTGTTAAAAACTTTCACTTATAATTTATAGATGGTGCTAGTAATGCCGGCTTTAAAAAAGTGAGGTTAAAAACCATTGTTTATTTGCCATTCGTCTATTTTTCAATAACGATGTTTCAAGATAAAATAGAAGAATTTCAAAATTATTTTAAATCTCATAACAAATCCAAAGAGTATCTAGGGCATTCTTCCAAAGTACATTCAGTGGGATGGAGCTGTGATGGAAAAAGACTTGCTTCTGGTTCTTTTGATAAATCTGTTTGTATTTATACTTTGGATAGAGACAGGCTTGTGCGTTTTTTTTTAATGTATAGTATTTATATAATATTAATTTGTCATACTTTTTATAGAACAAAGAAGTTGTATTTAAAGGACATGGGGGTTCAGTAGACCAATTATGTTGGCATCAAACCCATCCCGATTTATTGAGTACAGCAAGTGGTGACAAATCAGTAAGAATTTGGGATACAAGAGTTTCAAAATGTGTGGCCACTATTAATACCAAAGGAGAAAATATAAACATAACCTGGTCCCCAAATGGAAACACTATAGCAGTAGGAAATAAGGAAGATCTTGTAACATTTATTGATGCTAGAACACACAAAATTGAAGCAGCCGAACAGTTTCACTTTGAAGTAAATGAAATATCTTGGAATAACACCAGTGATTTGTTTTTTTTGACCAATGGCCAAGGCTGTGTGCATATTTTAAGTTATCCTGAATTAAAAAGGCAACATATCCTCAAAGCTCATCCAGGAACATGTATATGTATAGAATTTGACCCTACTGGTAAATATTTTGCAACGGGTAGTGCTGATGCTTTGGTATCTTTATGGGATATTAATGAACTGGCCTGTGTGAGAGTCTTTACAAGAATGGACTGGCCAGTTCGAACCATATCCTTTAGCCATGATGGACAATTACTGGCATCAGCTTCAGAAGATTTAATTATTGACATTGGTTTTGTTGAAACAGGTGACAAAATTGCAGATATATCTGTAGAAGCTGCCACATTTACAGTAGCATGGCACCCATCATTGTATTTGTTGGCATATGCTTGTGATGACAAGGATTCCTACGATAGGAAAAGGGATGCTGGCAGTCTTAAGGTTTGGGGGTTTCCTTCTGATTAAGGATTAAAACCCAATAAAATTCTTTTAGTTAGTTTTTTTATTATATATAAAACAAAGTGTCAGAATAATTAAATTATGTAATAAATATTTTTTATAAAAATATTAAATCCTTATTAAACTAAAGAAGCCTCCATTTTTATTCCAGAATCTTTTTCCTCAACCTTGGCTTTCTTAGCTGGGGTTTCACCTTCTTCTAATTCCTCACTTTCTTTTTCAGTTGGGCAAATAGCTTTAAAAATACTATTCTTAAATTCTTCATACTTCTCTTTATCTTTTAATAAACTACTTTCCTTCATTATTTCACTATAATCTGCATTACTTTTTGGGGCTTCTTCTGCAATATCAATCTTTTTATCACCTTTATCAAAATAGTTGTTTAACTTTGCATGACTGCTTGTAGAAGTGTCAATCTTCATTATTTCCCTAATTACCATTGTAGCATATGAAGAAGAATGTAATGTAAATTCCATCACTAAAGCCTTAAACTTGCCATTTTCCAAACTAACAGGTTCAGGAACTTTTTTAAGTTGCTCAAAATCTGATAAAATTAAATTATAATTGGGATCATTATAATTTAGTATTTTCCAAGTTAAGTATTTGGGCTGAGTAAGAATGTTTCTATAAGTCCCACTTAAAGTGTAGGTTTTAACTTTCTGTTTTGGCATTTCCAAGGATAACTCAAATTCTTCTAAAGCTTCTTTGTATGCGTTTTTTAAATATTCTGGATAAACTACGTCATATCCTGGCAATGGTAATACAATGTCAAAAATATTAAAACTTTCTAATTCGTCAAATTTTAGTGCTCTTACTTCCTGCTTACACTTGATCTCTTCATCATCATTATTATCTTTACTCTCCTTTTGTTCATTAATAATTATTAAATCACCTTCAATAGGCTTCAATCCAAATTCTTTAATTCTTTTTGAAACTATTCTATTCCAAATTAAGCTTTGAAATGCATGTATATACAGAAGTCTCATATTTCTTGGAATTTTTTCCAAAGCATTTACATAATCATTAGCTGCTTCTTTTGATAGTCCCTCCAATAATTTAGCTTCTATACAATTATTTTCACTGACATTTAACTCTTTAAAAGCTTTTAATGCATCCCCAGTTTCACTGTAAACTTTTTTAGCCTTTGAAATGTCCAAATGTGGGTCATCATATTTTTTTGATTTTAAAATTAACTTTACAGCTTCCTCCCATTTACCATGCATTAACTTAATACCAATATCAAAAGTAGGTACTTCTTTATCATTTCCAAATCTCTGCAATCCATAATAATTTATAAAACCATTTTCTTTAACAAACTGCATATTTTTGTTAATTAATTCATCCTCACCTTCGACATTTCTCAGAGCTATCCTAAATGTATTACCACTGAGATCACCTAATCTTAAGGGATGATCCTTGAAAGTAATATTACCAATTTTAACATTCCTTAAGTTTTTAGTTTTAATTATAAGCTTCCAGGGTTCCACTTTTTTAGCTGAAAACCACTGGGTTGTTTTGGCTCTTTTATCTTTAACACCAGCATAATTAAATGTGTGTGTAGCCATCCTCACACAGTCACTGATTTTAATGCAAGCATCCATAGTGTCCATACATTCTTTATAAAGTATAAAATGAACATATTCACCTTTATCTTCTGGCCACTGTTGTCTTTGATTTCTATCATTGTTGGTTGACCGTCGAAATTCTAAAAACTTTTTATCATCTTTGTTTAGAGTGGAAGCAATTATTTTCTGACCAAAGTGTGTTTTCATACATGCATGTATACTTTTCCTTTCTTCTTTTGTTAATTCATCTGCACCAATTTTCACCAAAGTTTTCTCAGGGTTATCCATGATATTCTTTATTTCTTCCCATGTTTCTTTTGATATTTTTTCGTGCGGACTCTCCACAACTTCTTTATAATTCACATTCTCAACTTTTGGATGGAAATCTTTAGGAATATCTGTATTGGTCAATTTTGCCACATTACCTTCCAAATCTATTTCGTTTACTTGAAAATCCGAAAATCTTGCTTTTAAAATTCCAGTAAAACCATCCAAATCGCTCAAATATTCTGTTATTCCGACTTCTTTTTCAGTTAATTGATCAACATGACGGTATTCTTTTTTTCCTCCTCCTCTGTTATCATTGTGTGGTTTTCCTTGCCACTTGTTGTTTCTTTTAAAGTTCTTCTTGTGGCCAAACCGTCCAGACATATTGCAGGAAGAAATAGCAACTGTGAGAGGAAAAATGCCACCACGTAGACGTCAAAAACGATTAGTGTGGTAATTTGAGGTTATGTTTTGTAGTTTGGATCATTTGAACTACTAAACGCATGGCCAACTTGTATGAAACTCACACCTCATGATGAGGTTCGTCACAGAACCGTTTGTCCCAAACTAACGTCTAGGTACGGAAAAATTCCGAAGCTTTGAAACCAACCCAAACCCAACAACCCAACCCAACCGACAGTTGGCAGTACTTGTTATTTAAAAGTACTGCCAGCTGTCGGTTGGGTTGGGTTGGTTTCGAAGCTTCGCAATTTTTCTGTACCTAGGCGTTAGTTTGGAACGAACCCCATCATGAGGTCCTCAAGTTGTAAACACTGCAAACAGGTATTCTGTGTTGTTGCATTATGCACACTTAATTTTTTATTGTTTGAAATTGTTTTCCTGTTTTTCAAAATTAAAAAAACAGTTGTTACACAGCCTGAGATTTACCATCCATTTATTTTTCATTGTCGTTAAATTTTTATGATTTCACTGTAATCGATATTTTAAAATGCATGCGTATATTTTCAATGGTTTAAGGTCAATTTATAAAGTTAAGCCTGATTTATAAATTGCCTTCCTTCCTTCCTTCCTCCCGTAAAAGATAAACAATACAAAAATCGTAGTGCCATTTATAGATTCCCTATTGAAGACGATTATTCTATTAGTAAAATTTTTATTAACAAAAATTTTAAAACCAAATAATGCGATAGAAAACTAAATTTTACCAGAGTTAAGAACATTAATGGTTGGCCCAAGCTAAATTTAGGAAAAAAAAGTAAATAAGAAAAACCGATACTGAAGAAAGAAATTATTTTTTTTATTGTGATTTTTTCCAAAGAATTTTTGTTTTGTTTATTTTATTTTTTTATTTAATATAATAATAATAATTTGTTTATTTATATCAATTTTTTTTAAATAAACTTTTTTTAAATATTTTTTATTAAATTTTCTTGTATTTTTAGCGTGTTTAAAATAGATCCATAGCTATAGCATATACCATATATGGTATTCCACTGTTTTACTATATCTGCTGTGAGAATACCATACCCAGGGCCGGCCCGACGTTTTTTGCCGCCCCCTTTTTATTCAGCAGGAATAGGAAAAAAGTACTTTAACGTAATTTTTTTTATTCAAATTTTTAAATTTTAGAATTACTAGGTAAGGCAATATACTGTTAAATATATATACATAATTGCATCACTTGTCAATGATTATATATATGACCTATAGGTCACCAAAAACAACAGAAGGTGGCAAGAAACAGTGTGCAAACAATGTGAAATATCTTTAGAACATTGTCCAGTAAATTAGAATTAGTATAACTAGTTTTGGAGGCCCCTATGATGTGGAGCCCCTCCTTAATCCAGCAATGCCATAAACTTTTAGAGCGATCCAACCTCATGCAAGTGCACTTTCTTCCAATTAAATTATTTTATCTATGGTGTTTATTGAAACACATTTGGAATTGCATATTCCGCTCTGGTGAAACCGTCAAACTCGCCTTCGGCTGATAGACTCAAGCTAATGTTTTGTTTTATTGATTTTGCTTTATACAAATATTTAATTTAAATAATTTTTAGATAATAATAAGTATACTTACATCGTAGAAAAAGTCAACTCGTTTATAAACTTTTTTAGACAATCATTTAATTAAACATTTGCTCGCAAGCTCGCTTGTGCCCAATATAAATTCGTGACTAAAATGGGACATATTTTTGATTAGGTATACCAGGCATACCTATAGGTATGTCTGTGAGGTATACCTAGAATACAAAATATATATTTATATTATTTGAAATTTACATAGTTGTAAAACCAAATGTTTCCCTTTATATTATGTATAAATATATATAAATATATACTTCTATAGAAATTCTTAAACTTTTCTTATCAGAACCGCATATGCGGTAAATAACCAACAGGATGTGCATATCTGAAATAAAACATGACCAAACGAATTAAAATATAGGCAAAGCAGTTCGGTTTTATTCCTGCAATAAAAAGTGCTATATTCGAATTAAAAATGTATAACGAGGAAGTTGTAAAACCCATATGTCAAAAGTTATTTCGTCAGAGTTCGATAGAAACAAGATTAACCCCTGCAAATGTATCAGACGATTCCGAAGATGAAAAAAATATCCCAAAAGTGGTGGATTTAATGCCGAAAACAATTACACCTTCAAGAAGACCCAGTAACGAAACTGCTATAGATAAGCAGTTTGCAGAGGAGCTTGAAAAGAAATTAAACCTCCACAAAGGATTAGTTAAAACTGGACCAAGAGATAAAAGTAAAGAAACAACTAATGCTGATTTGGATAGCCTAAAAAAGCCTCCTAGCCCAATATATGCTACTGTAAATAAAAATACAAATTTTCTTAGTGAGTTACAGGGCAAGCTATCAAATCCAAGTAAATCCAAGCCATCGTGTACCAGTATAAATGCTGATGGGCCCCATTAAAAAGGTGCTTAAGCCTAAGCCACCTGTACCAGAACGTAGTATTGCTACTAATCTGCAAAACGCGGAGGTTCCGAAAGGATGTACCTCAAGTGCTGATCTCTTATACAAGCCAAGCAAAGAAGATACCAAACAGCGCATATCTAGACCCAACAGCGATTATGACAATATTAAGGACTATAATATGGATAAAACAACCATTAATAAAGATGTTTATTTTAAAGAACTGGATTTGGAGGAAAAATTGGCAAAGGAATATCAAAACAATGAAGTTGGGAAAATAAAAGGTATGTGTTATAAAATAATAATAATAATTAATTATTAATTATTATTAATAATTGTTATTGTAAATAACTATAGTTATTTACAATAACATTATTGTTATACGAGCCCTAACCACATAATGTTCGGACACTTCATAATTTATACAGAAATTTTTTTCGTGAATACTATCTCAAAATTATTAGAAGTTATGAAAAATTCAGCTTATTTTGGCATATACCCCTCGAAGCGATTTTTATTTTTAAAAAGTTTACCTTTTATTTTTAGCTTTTAAAAAAAGGCTAACTTTTTAACTTTTTTTTGCATGAGTAAAAAAATTTTTTTAACTTAAGTTATAAATGGGCCCATTAAAAAGAACATAAAATATTATACAAACCCTGAAAATTTGGTAAAAATTGTATAAATAATAAGAAAGTTATAGCGATATATATATCTGCAAAATCTCCCGTTTCTTAAGAAAATTGCAAAAACTCTTTAAAAATAGCATTTTTAAATTACTTATACTTTTTTATAACTTATTTATTTTTTACCAAATTTTCAGGGTTTGTATAATATTTTATGCTCTTTTTAATGGGTCCATTTATAACTTTTTTTACTCATACAAAAAAAAGTTCAAAAGTTAGCCTTTTTTTAAAAGCTAAAAATAAAAGGTAAACTTTTTAAAAATAAAAATCGCTTCGAGGGGTATATGCCAAAATAAGCTGAATTTTTCATAACTTCTAATAATTTTGAGATAGTATTCACGAAAAAAATTTCTGTATAAATTATGAAGTGTCCGAACATTATGTGGTTAGGGCTCGTATAGTCGCGGCCAAATTTGCATGGGTGCACGTCTGTATGGGGACTTATAAGTCCCCATCCCCCCCTAGCTATCGACGCCCTTGGTTGCCACCACGGCCGCGATCTGCACAATTTTGTGCACCCCATTAAGGGGTTTATGCATATGCATATTTTGCCACCTTTAAAGCAAATTTGCTTTTCATAAAGCCAAACTACAGAAATGTATGTAAGCTAGCTTAACATAGGCGAAGTAAGCGAATGATTTAGAAAAATTTGAAATAACCTATATTTATAAATATTATTTAGTTGACAATTCGTATCATTAATATGTCTATGGTATCCTATATTTTAAATCACCCACTGTACTGACTATACTATAAGGTAAAGTGATACCGCAAATCGACAAATTTCCCTCAAATATAGCATATGAGTCAAACCACGTCAAGTGGGACCAGAAAATTTCAGGAAATCACCGATTTTGAAAATAATCACATTATTGTGTAGTAGGCATGACTCATATGTCACAGTAAAAAAATTGTTTTAAAATTCGTTTTTTTGGTAATGTTATTAAGGTTGACAATTTTGTCAAACTTTAGAGCACGGTAAAATTGAAAAAATAGAATCTCTGGGACCACTCTGTATAATTGAATTAAATTTTACACACTATTGTAGAAATGTTTAGAGTATATAATGATCATTTAATTAAGGTTAATTTGTTTAAATAAAAGAATTTTGCATACATTTATTATAAACAATTGAAATTTTGTATGTGTTCTTCACGCTGAAAAAAAATTAATCTTGTGTCATAATATGCGGCAAACGTTTCCGTTTAATAAGATGTACTCAAAAATTTGCCTTTCATATGTCATTCCGGAGATATTAATTTTTTTGTCCCGCTGTGCGCTTGATCAGTACGCGGCACGCTTTGCTGCTAGCTCGTCAGCACACGGTGTGCCTGAACGAAGTTTAAGTCACATAAAAATTCCGCAGTTTCTTGTTCGGGACCCTTTGGTGACTTAAAAATGATATTTACCAAAATCCTAGCTGCTCCTCTTTTCGAAATTTTTTGAAAAATCTTTTTTCTGCATTATGCTTTTTACTATATAAAAAAGTGATTTTTGTCTAACCCTGTATAAATCTAAGCATATATATAAAAACAGCTTCTCTCGTTTACAATATCGGTGTACAAATGTGTACTCTGGCAAAGGTAGACTTTGCTATAAACAAATAATTTTAAAAAAATTGAATTTTTTACAAATTAAAAAAAACAGTTAGAATTTTGGTAAATATATTTTTTAACTTCAACCAATTTTTCGTTCAAAATTGAAAACTACTAAAAAGCCTAAATTAAACAACATTTTAAATACTCTCTAAGCGTTATTTTATTAAATGTTATTACAAATCTATTTTTCTTGTAAAAGGTTCATAATAATGCCATTTTGTAACATGATAGACCTAGAAATATCTAAAAAAAAAATTGGGAATAAATATTTTTCGCGTGTTATGCTAAAATCAGCGCCGGATTATAAAAATTTGCGCCCCGGGTCTAATAAAAATTTTCCGCCCCTACCTATATAATAAATTCAAAGAAATGTCACTTCTTAACAAAAGGATTTTATTAAACCATAAACATTAGGGTTGTAGTATTTTTTCGAAATTTTTTGATTTTGGAGATCAAATAAAAAAAATAAGTCTAAAGTATTTGAGTTTCAACAGATAAAAAAAATTTAGACGTCGCTCAAAACTTTTTTAAACCAACCTTTTTTCTCAAAATCTTTGGCTTCTCACTATTTTTTTTGTAGGTCGTATAGGAACATAATACATTTTTAAGTCAAAATATTATTGGTAGGTAAATATTTTTGAAATACATTTCTTGATATTTTTAATAATTTTGATCTTGTAACCATTACTATTTTTCCAATTTAGTTGATTTTTTTGAGCGACGTTTATTTTTTTTTTAGTTGAAACTTGAATACTTTAAACTTAAATTGTTTCATGTGAGCTCCGAAATAAAAAAAATGTCGAAAAAATATTGCCACCCTAAAAACATAAACAAAAACTATATAAAAAAACAAATACCCAAATAAGAAAATTAACATTTGGCCAACTCAACTTTGCGTGCTTTTAGAGAAGCAAATTTGTTTATCGCAATATTGACGTCATCTTTCAATAGGCTAATACCTATACTGTATATATATGTATACATACATATATATATGACTGGTACTGTATATAACTATAGTTTTAAACTAATTTAAATTAATAGTTGTTCGTAGTGTAATAAAATATTCTTATATTAAAAAACCTTTACGCCCATACGCATCGCATCGGTGGAAATAATCAATTTCTGCAAACTAAAGTTCTTGTCGCCCAACAACTTGTCGGGCGCCCTACGTAATACGTGACATGACATATTTCGTATACTATGCATAGATAATAATACTATGACGACAATCACGGTTATAATTTAAATAATTTTTTTATTAAAACTGATTAATACACGAAAAATAAAAAAAGGGGGAAAACCCTTTAGGTTGTAGTAAAAAACAAAAATTACCAGTCAAAAATTTTGCGCCCCCTGTAAGCTTGCGCCCCGGGTCTATAGACCCCCAAAGACCCCCCCCTAAATCCGGCGCTGGCTAAAATCATGAATTTACGCTTTTGCATTATTAAAAATAAGTGATTTTTGGCTAACCCTGTATATATCAAATGATGTGAACAGTATTAAAAAATATTCTCTAAGTCTCCTAAATAATATACTCCAATTTTATAAAAATCTGTGTGCAAATGTGTACTCTGTCAAAGAGATAAACAAAAATTTTAAAAAAAATCATGACTTTTCGAACAATTTCGAAAAGAGGAGCAGCTAGAACTTTGGTAAATATCATTTTTAAGTCACCAAAGGGTCCCGAACAAGAAACTACAATCAGTTTTTGGCGGCATTTTTATGTGACTTAAACTTCGTTCAGGCACACCGTTAAACCGTTCGAAGGGACGAGCTAGCAGCGAAGCGCGCCGCGTACTGATCAAGCGCACAGCCGGACAAAAAAATTAATATCTTCGGAATGACATATGAAAGGCAAATTTTTGAGTACATCTTATTAAACGGAAACGTTTGCCGCATATTATGACACAAGAATAATTTTTTTTTCAGCGTGAAGAACACATACAAAATTTTAATTGTTTATAATAAATGTATGCAAAATTCTTTTATTTAAACAAATTAACCTTAATTAAATGATCATTTTATACTCTAAACATTTCTACAATAGTGTGTAAAATTTAATTCAATTATACAGAGTGGTCCCAGAGATTCTATTTTTTCAATTTTACCGTGCTCTAAAGTTTGACAAAATTGTCAACCTTAATAACATTACCAAAAAAACGAATTTTAAAACAATTTTTTTACTGTGACATATGAGTCATGCCTATACTACACAATAATGTGATTATTTTCAAAATCGGTGATTTCGTGAAATTTTCTGGTCCCACTTGACGTGGTTTGACTCATATGCATTATGCCGTTCATAATATGAACTTCATATTCCGTAATAGGAGTGGAAAAAATTAATTCTAGATTTTTTATTATGGTCTTAATTTTAAATGTAAAATAAAAATTATGTGTATTAATTTTATGTGTGAGCATAATAGTATATTAAGTTTGATAAACGCCATTTTATACACGAATTTAATTTTGGCACGAGCGAGCTTGCAAGCGAGTGCTTAAGTTAATGAGTGTATAGAAAAGTTTATAAAGGAGGTGCATACTATACTTTTTCTACGACTGTTGTGTATGTATACACAATATATATTAAGTAATTAAAACGCCTGGTAAACTTACAACTGTAATTCACTTTTTTAAAAGAGCAATACAAAAGTAAAATGTACTTGTTAACAAAATTGGTAATGTCAATCAATCGTGTTGCTAACATAAATAAATAATATGTTGTCATAGTTGTAAAACTCTTCTGCCTACTTGCCCTTTTCCTGGCAGGAAATTTGAATATGTAATATTTCCTTCCCTTGTTAAAAAAAACAAAAAATACAAAAGTAGTTTTCTACAAATCTAATTTAACCACCGGTTTTCGAATCCGTGTAGATCTGCGTAAAACTTGAGTATCAGTCTCAGCTTGAGTTCCGGGCTCTGAATTCAGAGGTAACAAACGATCCGACTCGTGCAAATCGTCTGTTTTTGGAATGTCCTCACAGGAGTCGAGAGCAGGCA